CTTCCTTGAGACCTGCAAAATTATTTTAAAGTGTAAGTAAAGGCAAAACTTTTTTTTTTTTTTTTGTAGCTTTGGAGAGTGGAACTATCAGTTGTCAGTTTTCACTGCTGTCTGTGCCCCCTGTTGGGGAGATTCACCCTCTCTATTTGTGCTGTATACCCTTTTCTTTGAAAGTGAAACTAGAATAAAATCCCAAGTTTTGGGTTCACATCAGAAAATTAATAGAGGGCAAATCTTCCAATGGGGACACTAGTTCTGGTGACAACCAGAGATTCTCTCACTTTGAAGAGTTTTCCTCTCACTCCCTGTTTTAGCTATGGGAAAGGAAGTGAAGGGAAATCTTCCCAAGGGTGGCAAAGGAAAACTGACAGGAGTTACAACCCTCCCTTACTCTAAAAGCAAAACTTTTTTTTTTTCATTTTGCATAGTTCCACTTTAAGGGTTCCTCTGGGCTTAGAGGCTATGTATGGCTGATTTAGATGGATTTCAATCCTCTATTTTATTTCATAAGATGTTCCCTAGTGTCTATGGAAAGATCATGATGCCCTGCATGTTACAGAAATCACTGTTATGTATGCAAGAATTGCATTTATTTGCATCATTTACCTTGTTCACATCTGATCGCACTCAGAATTTGGTTCAGTTGTGCATGGTAGCTATTCAGCTTCTAACTTCAGCTTGTTCAATTAAAGGATAAGTTCACCTTTGGGAATATGTTACATGCTCCACCCGTTTTTAGGGTGGAACATGTAACATGTTCCCATAGCTGCAGCCGCCCCCCTCCCTCTAACAGACAGTACGGTGAAACTTCTCCCTGTACTATCTGTCAAATTTGAAAACAGCGCAGCCGTGCGGGGCTCTGCCAACAAGGCCACGTCATTCGTTCATGGACTACCGTGAATGAATGAACTGAAAATCCTGACAGCCTTAGCAGCTGTCGGCTTGTAGTTTTCAATGAACTACCACGACACTCTGGAGCGCCGTGGTAGTTCATTGAAGCTTTCTATCAGAATATCTGCTTGCCCGCACATCCCGTACAGCAAGCAGATATTCTGACAGGCCTGCAGGAAACCTACTGATTGTTGGTGCAATGCTTTCCAGCCTCCTGTAGACAAAAATAATAAATGCACATTTTTTTACCTGGAAAAAAATGTGCATTTATTATTTTTGTCCAAAAGGTGAACTTGTCCTTAAAGCTGGCCATACACTATACAATTTTCTTGGGAATTTTGCTTTAGATTGACCAAAAAACCATATAATATGAGGTCACACCTAAACAACACTTTCAATTGTATCCAATTAGGCAGGCCCTTGCACTACATAGTTGAAGGTAAATCTAAAGGAAATTGGGCAGTAAATTGTATAGTGTATGGCCAGCTTTAAGCTTTGTCAATAAAACCTGGAAGCTGATTGGTTACTATGCACACCTGCACCAGATTTTGCACTCTCCAGATTTAGAAAATCTCCCCCACTGAGTATGCAAAACAGTAGGCTATGGATAAAGCTAAGGCTAGCCATAGATGGATCAAAATTTGTCCTGTCCCTGTTGAACCAGATGAATTTCGATCCATTTATGGCCATTCCTATTTGACAGGAGTAGATCTAATGATCTGCCCTTCCAAATAGGACTGTTGGTAAGTTTGTGTTCCATCAGCATCTGCAGCACTGAGCAGTGTATTCTGACACAGTGGGGAGGATTCCCCCATCCACTTTGTATGTGTGGATGTGGAAATCCATTGGTTTGTTAAAAAAAAAATAAAAAAAATAAAAAAAATATGAGGTTTAGGGAGAATAGCTACAAGACTCACTCCTCACCTTTCTCAGCTAAGCTGATCTACCCTTACAAATGGGACTCTTGGTAAGGCTGGCCATACATTATACAATTTTCTTGAGAATTTTTCTTTAGGATTGACCTCATATTATATGGTTTTTGGTAAATCTAAACAACACTTTCAACTGTATCCAATTAGGCAGGTCCTTGCACTACATAGTTAAAGGTAAATCTAAAGGACATTGGAAAGAAAATTGGATAGTGTATGGCCAGCCTTAGGCTGGCCATACATTATACATTTATCTTCCAATTTTCTGCCCAATTTTCTTTAGATTTACCTTCAACTGTGTAGTGCAAGGGCCTGCCTAATTGGATACAACTGAAAGTGTTTTTTAGGTTTGTCCTCCTATTATATGGTTTTTGGTAAATCTAAACCAAAAATCTCCAGATAATTGTACAATGTATGGCCAGCCTTAGTTTTTGTTCAGCACTAATCAGTGTATTCTGACAATGGAGGAGTCTTGCTGTCAGAATCCAAGAACACACTGGGGTAGTATATAGTCAGTGGAGTTCTCCTTTAATAAAATTAGATACAAAATAAAACATTGAAATAACATTTATTTGGCATTTACATTTTTAAATCATTCATTTCCATACAGCAGCAGAGTCTTCAATGTCCAACTATTTGCCATATATATTCTGTATAGAAAGTGAAGGCTGAGAAGAGAAGAACTAAGACGACACATTATGCAGTAGATATATCAAGAGGCAATATAGGCAAACATAACAAAATACGTCATAAATTCTGAATATAAATCAGTCTTCCAAAATTATTTGTTTTTACCAATCATGAATCTCTTTGTTTTTTTAATAACACACTACATTTAATATTCATTGACACAGTGGTAGGAGATTTACCAACCCTCAGTTCACACTGTGCTTGCTGGTTCCAGGTGTGGAAATTGCATCGGTTCCCGCAAACATCCACAGCTGAACCACGCTGCTCTTAAAAGATGCGTGGGGCTGCCTTTCATTCTGAATGGCAACCCATCACATCTCATCCCGCAGCACAATTGCAGATGTGGGAACCACATGGTCAAAAAGAGCATGCGGTTTCCCTGAGGTCATATTTCAAATGAATGGGGTGCCGCACCTGAGCAAATACAGGCTGCACATCCCCCACAATAGTGTGAACAGAGGGTAAAACTAGAGCACTCAGAATCTGGTGCAGCTGTGCATGGTAGCCAATCAGCTTCTAACGTCAGTTTGCTCAGTTAAGCCTTCAAAATAAAACCTGGAAGCTGATTGGTTTCTATGCACAGCTGCACCAGATTTTGTACTCTCCAATTTTAGTAAATCGCCCCCTGGGCACCTACAGAACTAAAGGCAAAACTCTTGTTTTTCACTTTCAATATAGTAATGGAGGGTTACAACCCGTCAGGTTTTTTTTTTTTTTTTTTGCCTTCTGTGTCCCATTGGGGAGATTTAACGGGTCCAGTGGTTTAGATGCACGATGATAAAGGCGTATCAACTTCACATTATATATTATTGAATGTGAGTGCTGTATCAAAAGCTGCTTTTTACATGTTATCTTTTAGTTGTCTATTAGTTTTTTTTTGTTTAAATGTAATCCTCTTCGATAGTAAGCGCTAACAAGCAAGGCCCTCTGATTCCTACTCTACTAAATTGTATTGTACTGTCTGCCCTTATATTGTAAAGCGCTGCAAAAGTGTCAGCACTATATAAATCCTGCATAATAATAATAATAATGATTTGGAATTTTGCTTGAAGGTTATTTTTATGCACCCCTATGAAATGCAGAAAATGAGCTGTTTCTCCTGCTATTTATATGTGCCGTTTACAGTGCCAGTAAATTCCATTGCCATAACAATCTTATTATACAAAGATATGACTGACGGTAAGGGCTGTAACATCAAACATATCTGCTGATGAAATTTGGAATGATAGTTTTATATTAAAGAATAAGTTCACTTTTTTAAAAAAAAAAGAATTTTTTTGCAGGTAAAAAATGTTTTTTTTTGTTAGGGACTTGTAAAGCACTGTACCCACAATCAGCAGATCATGGGTGTAATGCCATTGTCCTGCAGACTGTCTGTGTATCTGTCTGCCCATACCTCCAATATAGGCAGGCAGTTACACTCTGACATGAAGCTTAATTAACTACCTAGAGTGATGGACAGCACCCGGTAGTTCACTGTGAACTACAAACTGACAGCTGCAAAGGCTGTTGGGACTTGTAGTTTTCCCATTGATGGAACCCTGTGAATAAATGATGTGGATGGGTGGGCGGAGCCTCGAACTGCTGCTTTATTTAAGTTTCTGACAGCAAGCAGGGGGAGAAGATCCCCTGCTAGCTGTCAAAGTGGGGAATTTGGGGGGATACAGGGGCCGATCCGTTACGTATTACACCCTGAATATGGGTGTAACATATAACATGTTACAAAAGGTAAACTTATCCTTTAAAGTGGGCTGAGGGTGCTCTGAGTTCATGTAAAAAGGGACATTTCCTTTAACCTCTTGCTGTCCACATAATGCATATGTGCAACTGCAAAGAGGGTGGGTTTTAAAGCCCACACACCGCACATATGAGACCATGAATAGGGGAGGTTTCTGTTCTGAGAACATGCTCACAGTAAACTCCCAGCACAAAGACTGAGCTGTCATAGACAGCTCTCAGTCTCTAGTCATAATCCAGAGCTGGCGAGACAGGTTCCCGATCATGCAAGTGTACAATCCACACGTTCCTGTGTTAAAAATGGCTGTGTGTATAAGTGGGTGCTGCAGCGACCGTCGGCTGGAACAGAACAGAATCCGCAAGGGAGAATGTAACCAGCACACCGAGAATCATCAATAATGGGTCCAAAAGTTTTAATGAACGATCACATAGTTACAGCAAGGCAACGTTTCGGAGTCTTGTAGGACCCCTTCATCATGCATGTGACGTTGTCTGACAATAGGAGCTGCACTACTGGATTCCACCAGTGTGTGGAGCTTTAATACAGAACTGCATTTCCAAATACCACCGCACAGATGCTAAATCTTACAGCTCTCACAGTCACATAAAATAACCCAAAAAAAAGCAAAGGGGGTTCCCTCACCATTGATTCAAAGCTGGGAATCTTTATTAAATATGATTCATAACACAGTCACCAGATCAATTTTTGGCAGAGGCAGTTTTATGTAATAGGAAATAGGGAGACATTACACCTTATATTAAATCATCTTCAAATATGACTGTTTTTTTTCCCATCCATGGAAAAAACTGTCTTTTCCACCTCACCGCCACCATTGCTCTCTTTCTGGAAGTGGACCTGAATGGCATCTTGAACATCATCTTCCTCTTGATCATCAACATTCTTAATGCCAGTTAATAGCACTGACCTCGCAGAATTGGCAGTAAACATCTGCAATGGAACACAGCAAAATTATGTCCCTAACGATATACAACGATTAATGGGGATACTGGTGTCTCATGTAAGGACAAGTATAATGCATTTTCATTGGATGCAGTTTGAATTAATATTGTAGATTTACTTTAAAGTAGTTTTAAACCCCCACATATACCCAGTGAAGTGACTAGCATCAGTTAATACACAGAGATGAAACAAATCCTCCTATGTAATTTGTACCTGTTTGTCTGAAGCCCTTCTCAACAGCCTCCTAAAGCACACATTTTTTTACACAGCACCTGTGAGCTTCCACAGGCAACAAGCTGGGATCTGATGTAACACACTGCACAGCTCAGAGAGGAGAGCTGAGTGTAATCTGAGACCTGAGTGGGGGGGAATGGACACACCACCCAGTACACAATCTCAACACAGCTGAGGCTGTCAATCACAGGCTGCTTGTTGGAGCTCCACTACCTCACCCCTTCAATCACACTCTTGCAGACGGCAGATGATCAAGGCAGAAGATAGAAATCACACTCAATGTTTTGCATTGAGGCAAGTACATGCTATAGAAGGATATGCTTTGCTCATTTTTCATGTCATGGGTTTGCAACCACTACAAGTAATTGTTTTTTGTGACTTTTATTAACATTACATATTTTTGTAGAATGTAGAGGTTTGTAGATTGGCAGCTGGCTCTCCCAAAGGTGCCAGAGGTAGGAATTGCATGGTACTTGTGCAGTCCCTTGACCCTAGTAGTCTGTATTGGAGTGCAGAACAATGGCAGCAGGTACTCTAGAATGATGAGTCAAAATGTGAAATATTTGGCTGTAGCAAGAGGCAGTTGGTTTGCTGAGAGGCTGAAGGTACAATAATGAGTATCTGCAGGCAACAGTGCAGCATGGTGGAGGTTTCTTGCAAGTTCAGGGCTGCTTTTCTGCAAATGGAGTTGGAGATTTGGTCAGGATCAATGGTGTCCTCAATGCTGAAAAATATATTTATCCATCATGCCATACCTGCAGAGAGGTGTGTGTGATTGGGCCCAAATGTATTCTGCAGCAGGACAACAACCCCAAACATACAATGCCAAGAACTAACTTCAGTGTAAAGAAGAACAAGGAGTCGTGGAAGTGATGGTTTGGCCCCCACAGAGCCCTGATCTCAACATCATGGGAGTCCGTCTGGGATTACATGAAGAGACAGAAGGATTTGAGGCAGCCTACATCCTCAGAAGATATGTGGTTAGTTCTCCAACTTACTTGCTGAGTTCCTTCAAAAACTGTGTACAAGTCTACCTAGAACTGATACTGTTTTGAAGGCAAAAGGTGGTCACACCAAATAGTGATTTGAATTAGATCTCGTCTGTTAATTTATTTTCCATTTTGTTGATTGATAAAAAATAAACTGTTAACACTTCTATTTCTGAAGGCACTCTTAAATTTACAGAAATGTTTTTAACAACTTCTATTTTTTCTATGGTTGAACTGGATGGACTTTTGTCTTTTTTTCAGCCAGACTAACTATGTAACTGCCTATAACTTTTGCACAGTGTAATATATATATATATATATATATATATATATATATATATATACACACAAATAAAATCCCTTTTATAGTTACCTGACAGCAGCGCCTACACTATTTGAGCCCCAAGACAGCTGGGATCCACAGGCAGGCCAGAGCCATTGTGTTAGATGAAGAGAGCTCATTACCATTCTTTAACCATCCTAAAATCTTAAACATAGGATTACCTCAATAACGTTTCTAGGGTGGATCGAATATGTTCAGCTACTTTCCTAGTCACCTTCCTCACTGCTATAGGAGGCAATTACATGTTGACAGCCAGGAAATGCTACGTATTTTTCAGCAGCAGCCAAAATGCAGTTGTTCCTGTATAAAATGACATTTGCAGACAGTCTGCAAGTGTGAGTAAGTAATAAAATATAATAATGTATTGTCATGTTGTAAGTACTAATTCATTCATATGTAGCTCAAGGTTGTGACTTTTGATCTACATACTGTATAACATCAGTTAAGGGAACCTTATAAAAATATTTTTTTAACTAAAATGTATTCCCATTTAATCCCTTATTAACCCTTAATTAATCCTAATCAGAACAAATAAACTACTTTCTCCCCTTTACCTATTATTATTGCTTTTTATTTTTTAATATTTAATATTGAATTTATTGCAAATATTAATATTTAAGTATTTTTCATTTTCATTTGTTTTGGCTTTTTTCAGTACCACATAAAAAAAAGGATTTACAATAAAGCTATTTTTTTTAAAAAACTAACACTGATAAAAATAGAAATAGAAAGCCTTTTTATGTCTTTTTGTCTATAGATTACAAAGGAAATAAAATTCTGCAAGACGATATTGCCAAAAGAAAGCCTAGTTTGTCTCCAAGAAAAGAATTGTTATCATAGAGTGTTACTAAACCCATGATCCTGCATTCACTGTATCTAGACTCCTACACTAAACAGAACATGAAAAGGCCATTATTTTAGTAAATGTAAACTGCTAAATACCTTTTCTCATCAGCACAATATAGCAGTTTTGTGACTTCTATTAGTGTCTGGCCGAGGACTGGTTAGAGCTTGTAGGTGGAGTTTTCATTCTGCTCCGACTGTCCTATGAGGCTACATAATCCCTGACCCTCTGTCTGGACAGCGCTGATTGGCCCTATGCTGATCACATGTACCCTCCCATAGAAAAAAAAAACTCTCCAGCAACACACAGTAAACTGAGCATGTGCAGAGTGACTCCTAGAGCTCTGTACTATCAGCAGAAGGATTGGGGACAGTAGAAGAAGGGGAGGATCAGAAAAGGCAGGATCAAACAGCCTTTTTACACAATGTGGAGGATTAACCCCTTAGGTTCCACAGTGAGTAGAACAAGCATGCTTTACTGCATATGCAGATTGATCTTACTGTTGTTGGTTTAGTAACACCTTATGTAATGACAAATAATCGCCAAATAAACAAGTCGCAAAAGTTGCTGTAATCCAAGAGCACTTTAAGTTACAAAGCTGAAGTGGTTAATATACATTTTGTATAACCCCGTGCCACTGATTTCAGTTCTGTGGCAGGTGTTGTCAGTAGAAAACAGTATTCATGGTCTTTTTAAAGTTAAGCTCCAGACAAAACTTTTTTAGATTTGAATAATCATCTCTTCAGGGAAGCTTATCCCACCTCCACCTAAAAACTGAACTTTAAAACCTCTGTCAGTTCAGCAGGGACAGGCTGAAATTTTATCCATCTATGGGCAGGCTGATTGCACTGAAGTCGATCTACCTATCGACTTCAGTGCAATGGGCGTGTCAGATTTTTTAATGCTATCACTGTTGTTCTGCTGGCAGGAAAAGTTCCCTGCTGGCAGAACACAATAGCGCTTCTGGAGGGATTCCCCCTTCAACACTGACTGTGTTGATGGAGAAATCCAGCTATTTTCTTTACTTCCACCATGAGTGGAAGGAAAGAAAAGTGTTTAATCTATGGGCTGCTTTACTTTCTCAGCTCATCTCACAGTTGTTAGTATTTATACCAACTTCCCTCCTAACCCTTTTATATAGAATTGTATTGTAACTGTAACATCTCCTTTTTTATTGTAAAGCGCTGTACAAACTGTTGGCACTACGAAAATTACACATTATAATGATACATTTACATAGCATGATTTTGATGTCTGATTTTTAGTTTTCCTTGAGTCTCATGTGGCATTTCTCTTTACTTTCAGTCCTGGTGACCACATGAGAAGTAAGATGAAAATACAAGTGGGGTCACAAAATGCAATCAAAACCCCTTCAGAGTTTCTCACCCATCCACACAGTATGTAAAACAAAAAGGTTTGGGCTAAAGTTGGCCTTGACAATTTTACAGCAACCTGTGTGATAACTGCCCCAGAAAAACCACCATCTGCACATAACCTTCAGTCACAATTTAGCCTCTTTTTGCCACTCAGCTGCCAAGAACAGGGAAAGAAATCAAATCGACTTGTTGGTGCTCACACACAGTTATGGGCCCCTTCCTTGAATCCAAGTGAGGGGGCCAATAATTAGGCTCTAGCACCAGTTTGAAGCGAGTCACCTACTCACCCATACTCAGAAGTTCGGGGTATTTCACATTGCACTCGTTGGCTGAACAGAGGGTCGAAAAAGCAAGGAAAGGTGAATATACGTTGCAGGGGAGGGGAAAACAAAGTGAATCTTTTCCCTGCATGGTCCCCGGAAAGGGTAATTTCACCAACCAAAACCAAGACATGTAGATATGGGATTTAGTTTTATTTTACCTGCAGCTTGTTCAGTTCTATATCTGTACATGGCATCACTTTAACTTCACACTTGACTTTTCCAGCCACGAACTGGTGCCGATCTCTCTTTAGAACTCTCTGAGCCACTTTAAAGGAGAATAAAAAAATTTTTTAGGTTTATAGTAGTGAAACCCAACTCTAGAATCCTCACAATTGGAAGAATTGGTATACTGGGTGTGTGAAAGAAAAGTTAGTCAACAAGACTAAAAATCCTACTAACTGGGGAAGGTTTTATATCTGTATAGGAGCCCAACAGGGAGGATACAATTGGCAGCAAAAACCAAATGTTTCCCTCTTTTATCCAGAACAGCTTGAAGTGTATGTTACCCTAAAATAGATTTCACATGTATGTGCCTGTTTGATCATGCTGCTTTGGGTAAATGTAATCTTTTATTTAATGAGATCTTTATTTCCTGGTGATCCTGCCAATTCCCCTCATGTCCGCTCCATTCTGACCATGCTGAGTACAGAAACAGATCTGTGCTGGCATGGTCACTTTTCGTATCTCTTCTTTTTTGCATGATTATATGGGACCCAGTGCGGACACATAGCATGCCTGTATCTACCGTAGTCAGATAACCACTACCCTTTGTCCAACCCTACTGTATTAATGGACGGCAGCACCCAGCATGAGCCTCACTGAAAAAACACCACAGGCTTGAGCATAGCACATACAGGGAGGCTGATCACTGGACCACCAAGGAAAACACAATAAGTAGATACAAAATATTTATTTGTTAAATAAATAATGATTATGGTACACAAATGATATATCTTTCCTTGCAATGTGTTTTTTGCTTTATTCCATTTGTATATGCGTTAAAACCCAAAAGCCGATAATGTGATGCCCTAGGTTCTTTTCCAATCTTCTATAGCAGTGAGCAGTCCTTGATGATGCAGCGCTTTGCATCACTACCCTGTGAGTGCATAGCGCCCTGTTCGGGCCACAGTCACATGGCCGGATAGCTGCATCTACTGGATTCCAGTAGCATGAATCAGTAGATTCTTGCAGTTGGAATCGCTGGGGCATGCGATCCACAGTGGCCATTCAGCCTATTTAAACTAATGGTGGGCTGACAGCCACTGCTGCTCTTCACATGTAGTCACACACAAAACAGATAGTTGCAATTAGGGACAGATGTCTGAGCCTGGATGCAGCTATGTCCAGGCCAGGGGTGGACTGACCATTTGGAAACTCGGGCACTGCCCGAGGGCCCGGGGTCAGTAGGGGGCCCCATGAGACGCTCCTGGTACCTTTTTTCATAGGTTTTTTTGAATTTGGGCAAGGACACAGGGGCCTCATGATCCTCTATTGCCCGTGGGCCCCATGAGTTGTCAGTCCGCCCCTGGTCCAGGCTCGACCATCCATCTATAACCACGGATATCTGCTCTATGTGCAGCTATATGTGAACAACAGCGGCAGCTCAGCCTATTTAAACTAATGATGGGCTGACAGCAGTCGCTGCTGATCACATGCTCCAGTATTCCAGCCGCAATCTGCTGATTCTTGCTGCTGGAATCCGTTGGCTGCAGTGGCCTGGCTGTGTAAATGTGGCCTAATACTCCCTCAGGAGTTGGTTCCATGATGGCTTGCAGTCACAGTATTTCCTCAATCTCTCCAGGTTGAATGACACCAGGCATCATTTAACCCTGAAGACAGAACAACTGGGGCAGAAAGGAAAAAAAAAACAAAAAAAGAAATATAGGAAAACATTCCCACACAAATTATTGGACTTTACTGGCACATCACAAGACAAGAATTAATAATCCAAATGGGTTATAGGTTTTAAGGTTGTAAATCCACATGGTTTCAAAGTGGGAAATGTCCCTCCTAGAAAAACTGCCGCTCCAGCGTGGTAATGATCAACAGCTATAAATGTGGTACCCATCGGGTTTTACTGTGACAACTAGCACAATGCATAGATACACTATGTCCCGGAAAGCAAAACCTGATTTTGGCAATGTGTTCTCTCAATTTAGTTTGGAGTTTTCTGATTGTCCTCCCAATATATTGCTGACCACATGGGCAAATAATCATATAGACCACATTCCTGGTGTTACAGCTTAAAAGCCTGTCAAAATAATAGCATTTTGAAGCTTGGTTGGAAGAGAAAGATGTAATCTTCCTTCCCTTAAATCTATTAATTTTACACACCTCACACTTCCGGCATAGATAATAACCTTTCAGGTCATGAAAGAATTTGGGCCTATTATTAGGAGGTTGGATGACATTAGGAGCAATTAGATTTCTCAGTGAAGGAGCTCCTCTATACACTACGTTCGGTTTGTCGGGCATTAAGGGACCTAAAATTGGGTCATTTTTCAACACTGGCCAATATTTATTCAAAATTATTTTCACCACCCAGTACTGATTAGAGGGAGGTCACAAAAGTCCAATTAACTAGTTGCCGACTGCAGATAGCCGAATGACGGCTACACTGCGGCCGGCCAGTTCTGGGTGGACGTCATATGACGTCCTCCCAGAATGCGCTCTCCTGTGCGCCCCCAAGGGCGCACACCTGGCGATCTTCGTGATCGCTGTGTCCTACAGACACAGCTGATCACGTGATGTGGTAAAAGGCCAATCACAGCAGCCTTTTACCACGTGATCAGCCGTATCCAATGACACGCTGATCACACGGAAATGCAATTGCCGGTTCTCGGCTGCACTTTCCTCATGCTGTCAGAGCGCGAGGAAAGTACTGCTGAGAACCGGCAGTTGTCAGAGCAGGGATCAGCACTGATCATCAGGGCACTGATGATCAGTGCCCTGATGATCGGTGCCCAGCAGTGCCACCCACCTGTGCCCAGCAGTGCCACGAGTGCCACCCAGCAGTGTCACACACCTGTACCCAGAAGTGCCACCTACCTGTGCCCAGCAGTGCCACCCACCTGTGCCCATGAATGCAGCCCAGCAGTGCTGCCAGTCAGTGCCACCAGTCAGTGCCCAGCGGTTGTGCCAGTCAGTGCCCAGCAGTTGCGCCAGTCAATGCCCAGCAGTGATGCCAGTCAGTGCCACCTATCAGTGCTGTCTATCAGTACTCATCATCAGTGCTGCCTATCAGTGCCACCTATCCGTACCACCTCATTAGTGCTGCCTATCAGTGCCGCCTATCAGTGCCCATCAGTGCTGCCTCATCAACGCACATCAGTGAAGGAGAAAAATTACCTGTTTGCAAAATTTTATAATAGAAACAAAGAAACTTTTTTTTTTTCACATTTTTTGCAATTTTTTTGTATGTTGCGCAAAAAGTAAAACACCCAGCGGCGATTAAATACCACCAAAAGAAAGCTCTATTTGTGAGAAAAAAATTATAAAAATTTCATATGGGTACAGTGTTGCATGACTACGCAATTGTCAAAGTGCGGCAGTGCTGAAAGCTGAAAATTGTCCTGGTAAAGAAGGGGGCAGGGGCGGACTGACCATTTGGAAACTCTGGCACTGCCCGAGGGCCCGGGGTCAGTAGGGGGCCCCATGAGATGCCCCTGGAACCTTTTTCATAGGCTTTTTTGAGTTTGGGCAAGGACACAGGGGCCCCATGATCCCCTATTTCCCGGGGGCCCCATGAGTTGTCAGTCTGCCCCTGGAAGGGGGTATAAGTGCCCAGTAGGCAAGGGGTTAAAGGAGTCATTTTGATTCTCCCTGAATCAGCCCTGGACAACAAAGCACTTCTATCCTTCTCAGTAACCTCACATATAACCTGGCTAAGTTCTCTCATATCGTACCCTTTAGTAACAAACCTCTCCTTCAATACTTCAGATTGTAGATGGTAATCCCTAATTTTTGTACAATTATGTCTTATATGCAAGAACTGGCTCTTAGGGATCTAATTTAGCCAAGACGGATGATGACAACTAGTCCTGTCCAAATATGAATTCCTATCTGTTTCTTTGAAAAAAGTCACAGTTTGGAGGGTATCATTAACCACTTTGATGGTTATATCTAAAAAAATGTATTTCTTGCATTTTCCATTCAGCTCATTACATGAAAGTAAGGATATTAATATAACTTAGATTACAAAAGTTGAAGTTTTACTCAAATTAGTTGATGCAAAAATGAATACACCCCACAACAAAAACTACTACATCTAGTATTTTGTATGACCTCCATGATTTGTAAGGATAGCACTATGTCTTCTAGGCATGGAATGAACACGTTGATGACATTGCAAAATCTGTTTTTTCCATTCTTCAAGAATAACCTCTTTTAGACCCTGGATGCTGGATGGAAAGTGATGCTCAACCTTGTCTCTTCAGAATTCCCCATAAGTGTTTGACTAGGTTCAGATCAGGAGACATACTTGACCACTAAATAACTTTCACCCTGTTCTTCTTCAGAAATGCAACAGTGGCCTTAGATGTGTGTTTTGGATCACTGTCATGTTGCAAAAGTGCACAGCGACCAAGGGCACGAAGTGATGGTAGCATCTTCTCTTTCAATATAGAGAAGTACATCTGTGAATTCATACTACCATCATTGAAATGCAACTCCCCGACACCAGCACCATTCATGAAGCCCCACAGAAGGACACTGCCACCACTATGTTTCACTGTAGGCACCATGCATTTTTCTTTTCTTCATCTTTGCGACGCCACAAAGTTTTGAAGCCATCAGTAACAAAAACATTTATCTTGGTCTCATCACTCCAGAGTACAGAGTCCCAGTAGTCTTCTTTTTCAGCATGGGCCCTGGTGAATTCTAGGTGGGCTTTTTTGTGCATGGGCTTTAGGAGAGGTTTCCTTCGTGGACGACACCCATGCTTGCCATTCCTCTGGATAAACTCCTGTCGAGGTGGTAACTTCCGTGGACGGCCTGAATGTCTGTGAGATGATTGCAGTTCCATCTTTGTTAAATTTTTGTATTACTTTTGCTACAGTATTCTGACTGATAAGTAAAGCTTTTCTGATCTTCTTGTAGACTTCACCTTTCTTATGTAAAGAAATTATTTTCTTTCTCAGCCTTGTAACATTTGTCCTAATTAACAAGAATTCACCTGCCGATGAATTCTTGTTAATTAGGATTATTTTTGTCTAAAATTTAGCTTTGCTCCTAAGACTTTCATTGGGGTGTATTCATTTTTTCAGCATGGTTTTGAATGAATTTGTTATGAAAAGTACTTTTTTGTGTGTGTAAATTAACAAATCTTGTTTGCAATCAATGGCCCTCATTTGTGGGAGTATTTTGTAGTATAGTGTCCCATAGAAAATGTTTATTCTGAAAGGAAAGGAAAGGTTTTCTGACAAATCTGTTGTGGTATACTCATTTTTGCTGAGCACTGTATATAGAAATAAGAAAAAAATCATAAAAATTAACACCTAAAACGGTGTCTTGTGACAGTATTCCTTTTTTATGAATAAACATTTTCTATATATTTTTAATTTTTGTCTCGTGATGTTCCAGGAACGTTCAATAATTAAGGTGGGGATGTTTTCCCACATTCTTTTTTGTTTGTATACAACTGGAAGAGGCATGGTGGAGGTCTTGGTTTTCAATATGGAGTGTGCTGCGTAAATTGACAGCACTATATAAGTACCTTTTAATAATAATAATAATAGTAATAATGTATGGAGCAGAGAGGAAATACTGCTGGGGGAAACGTGATAAGTAGGAATGAGTTCAGGCATGCTTGGATCCTAGTCCAAGTTAGCCCGCCAGGACACTGTCACCTTTACTGGGCCACTCATCTGCGCTTAGGGTATTCCCTGCCCTGTAGTCACATATATGCAAAGGGCATGTACACATGTGGCTGCGGGATGGAAAATGCCTCGACTTCTTATGATGGGCCCAGTACAGGGGCCACTTCCTGGCCGGTTCATTCAGGTGGGTTCAGATTAGGATCCATACATACCTGAGCACATACTAAGTGACAAAACACTGAGTATTGCAGCCAAAGTCCCCTTTTTGAACTTTCTGAGGAAAAAAAAAATAGCCTTCAATTAGATTTAATTTCCAAATGAAAAAAACTAGGAGTAAGTTTACCGCATACCTCCGTTCTGCAAATATGTGACATAGGCAGTGTTATCATTCCTGTCATATTCCACCTCCTCAATCTCTGCACCGCCTATCCCAGATTTATAGAAGGTCAACTCCACTTTATCCTTTAGGATCTCTTCAGGAATATCCTTTGGCAGATTGAAAATTTTTACTTTCTTGCTTGAGATATTCATGCACACCTAAAGAAAAAGACGGAAAAAGAACTGTCTCATGAAAAACCACAGCATAATCCACCCTAAAACAATACAATGAGAAATATACTGTGTAATTCACCTCAAATTTTACTGATTTGTTTAACACAGGTTCCACAGCGTCCACAGTAGCTCGTGTGCCATTGATATCCAGGGAATGTCTTTTCTTTGCAATAACAGATTCAGCAACTATTAGGAAAAAGGTATTTAACATGAGAGGGGAGTAAACATAAGCATGCAAGTTTTGATTCACAAAAGTGTTTGCAAAAGTTCCCCTTATGTATTAGCTATTATTCTGACATGATGTTAAAGCCCAAATCCATCCAGTTTACTTTTTTGGATAGCGCAGACCCCTGACGGGCCCTGCAGGTTTCCACCAGGTTCTCTTCCCAATTAACAACAAAGCAGCCAGGCACGCAGCAGCAAAAACAGTCTCAAGATGTAAGGACCAGGCAGGGAATGTCTTTTTAAGATTTAAAGGAGAAGTACAGCCAAAAGCTCGTTTGGCTGTACATCTCCTGTGGATCACATGAGTGCAATATGAACTCCTATGACCCTTTTTCAGCCAACAGTAGGCTAAAGTCTGCTGTTGGCTGACATCACTTAGCCGGTGCAGGCTGGGGAGAGATTCTGACCATATCCACCCAGGAGCTTAAACCGGAACTGGGTTCAGCCTTTCAGTGATCCACTGAGAGCCTGAGCCAGCCGCTACTGCTCCATTCACAGCTCAGCCCTCCAGTGAGCGCTGGGGGAACAGAGCAGACAGCCAGAGACTGACAGTCCCAGCTCTCTGCTCAGAGCGGCAATTCAGTTCTCACCCCTAGAATTGGTGGGGGACAACTGCAGCATTGGAGTGATACTGCAACCACCTAGGTAGGTATAATTTTAAAAAAAGAAAAAATTCCCATACTTTTCTTTTAACGCTCGTTGAACTTGGATAGGGAGCAGGATAAGCTTTTGCATACTCCAAATTAAGTGCACAAAGTAGTAGAGGACACTCTCTGCCTTATCTCTACTGTTCAGGATAGTTCCCCTCTTGACTGGCAATAGGAGAATCAGTGACTCACGGACTTCAAGCACTGGAACAGTCAACACTGAAGCAGATGCTCAAAGTGTTAAAGAAGCAAAAGTCACTTGGATCTCTCACTCCAGCCTATACTCACAATGTCCCCATGTACTTAGATGGCTCCATCCAATACCGGCCAGACACTTCTCCTTTGAACCTCCAGGTCAGATTCTCAGTGAATCCCCTTTGATTTTGCTACAGTTCCTCTCAGAAAGTAGGCCCCCCAGCTCTCCCTGAGCTGGGACCTCATTGAACTCAGACTTCACATAATCTGCCCAGAAGGGCAGCAGCTCTTCAGGCTGGGTCTTCTCCTCTTGGACAAGAGCCCTTCTGTTCCAGGCCCCAGATTATATATGCCCTCATCAGACAGCTACTGGGTATTCTCTCCCCCAGAGATTGGCAGAGACCAAATGAATATTCAGGCCCAGTATCTGACTCTTCCAGCCCACTACATTCTATAATCCAAAAGAAGGCAGGGGAAAGTAGTTGAGCCTGAAAGCCAGCAAGACCCAGAACAGCCAAAAATAATCACATGCCACTCCAATGATTACAGGGGACCTAAAAAACTAAACGTACCTTAATCTCTGTAGCAACCTCTTCTAGGAAGGTGCTACATGAGCTTTCCACAAAAGTAGTCTATTTCATCATGTTTTTATTTCTGTCTTTGACAAAATCAGCGAGAATTTCCCTCACTTCCTGTCGCATTGACACCCATATAAGAAAGAGGGGAGTGGGTGTCAAAGCTGGAAAGGAAGGCAAATACAACAATACAAATCTTGTCAGTCGTTTTAACCTTTCCTGGCTACTAAAAATGTTTTTTTTGTGTCCATCATACATTTTTTATCTCTTCCTGGGGAAAAAAAACTCTTCCCCACTCTATCCTAGCCAAAATACAATGCTTTGGTTGAAGTTGGGCTTTATTCAAAAGTGCTAGAATTTTATTTTGAGTCATTTTAGGCTGCAAAGTTTACCAACAGGGGTACCGTGTAAAATATATATTTCAATTAAATGGGGAAGGGTTTGACATGGAAATTTGCACTTACTTTCTGTCCCTAATATTGATGTCCCTGGGACAGGAAGTGAGGGAAATTCTCCCCAAATGGGGCATGGACAAAAAAAACACCTGAGACAAATTCTAACTCAACTTAAAAAAGTGTTCATTTTAAAACAAGAGAGCAAAGAAAAATAGTGGGGTACACATAACAGCCTATTGCATATTTGATTTTATAACCTGCTGCAGAACAGAAATGATGACGTTGAACTTACCAGCGCCATCAAGGTTCCAAAATCATCCTCATATAATGAGGTATATAAAATACTTTTTCAGAACACATTTTTGATTAAAAATACCTTGAGCATCTTCAAATGTGAGCAGGGCCTGTCCATTCCCCAGGATAAAGGGGTGACCAACAGTGCAACAGGTGTAGGTAATGTCCATAGGCTCATCGTCACTTTTATTTACCCCAGAGGGCAGAGTCTCTTTAAAATTTATATTCTTTGGAGGCAATTGACTGTTAATCTGGTGCAAAAAAACAAAATCAAGGTAAGAAAGGACTGATGGGAATATCAGAAAAGACTGAGAACACAGCAGCTAGGTGGTTAGCACTTTCACCCAGCAGCTCTAGGGTCGTCAGTTCAAATCCCAACCACAACACTACCTGCCCAGAAACAAATATGTGTACGACCACACTCAAAATAGCAAGTGTTAAACTACCTAAAACGAGAAAATGTTTGAAAATAATACTCTATATAAAATGTATCACCAAAATGTTGTGCAGCTCAATTCACAAACAAAATTTCTCTTTGCTTAAAAGTGTGATGTCAAAGCACCCAGCGTCCTTCACTTCTTCAGGTAAATGGCTCACCTCTCTCAACACAACTTTGTGCCACGCTCTGAGTGAAGTCCACTTTGACCCACAGACTGTGTTCGTGGCTGAAGCCGTCGGCTTTACTTGTCTTTGCGAATACCTCCATAGTGTCGGGCATGACATTTATTGTTTTTTTGAAGCCTTCCTTTCTGTTTATTGACATGTTGGCAAATGGTCTAGAACTGTGAGAACCTTGCAAGCTCATTAATGAAAAGAGTGGAGCCATTAACCCAGGGGTGTCAAACTGGCAGCCCTCCAGCTGCTGCGAAACTACAAATCCCAACATGCCTCTGCCTTTGGGAGTCATGCTTGTAACTATCAATCTTGCAATGCCTCATGGGACTTGTAGTTTAGCAACAGCTGGAGGGCTGCCAGTTTGACACTCGTGCATTAATCCATCATTGGATGATAAAGATTGTATGGTGCTCCAACAGGATTGGAAGTGGATTGCATTGTGTATGATACTTAAGCCTAGGTTCTTCTTCATTATCACAAGTATAAAGCCCCATACACAGGATCAGAAAATTGTACAAAAAATGCCACTTTCAAAAGTGATTGTATGATAATCACAGTGGCTAAATGGTTATCACTTCTGCCTGGCAGTACTAGGGTCATTGGTTCAAATCCCAACTGCAGCACCACCTGCCTGGAGTTTGCATGTTCTCCCTGTGACTGCATGGGTTTTCCTCCGGGTACTTCAGTTTCCTCCCACACTCCAAAGACATGCTGGTAGATTAATTGGCTCCTGTCTAAATTGGCCCTGGTATGTACAGTATATGTATGAATGTGAGTTAGGGACTTTAGATTGTATGCTCCTTGAGGGTTAGGGACTAATGTGAATGTACAATATATGTATGTACAGCGCTGCGTAAATTGACTGCACTATACAAGTACCTGAAATAAATAAAATAAATAATCTGATCATTAGTACACTGCAATCGTCTGAAAGTTACAAGCATGACATTTTTTTGTCATACAATACCAGTTCGTACGATTTGTGATTAACCAGTACAGTTTTCATCTGTAAATGCAATACAGATACATTACATCACTTCCGAATTTTTATTCTGTTGAACAAGAATTTTCGTATCTTTAGTAGCCTCTTCATTTTTGATATGAGACTATTATGCAAAAAAAAAAATGGATGATCATTCGTCCGATATTCTCAACGTGTATATGGGGCTTGAGGAACATTCTTCCCACTGACTAATGTATCATGAGTTATAGATATGAACATTATTAGCAGGGGTTCCCTCACACTGGAAAGTTATTTCAGGGGTTCCTCTGTGTTGAAAAGGTTGAGAATGGCTGCCTTATACTCACCTTACCTGCCCTCCCTCAAAGCTCCTTCCTTCTCCACAACCAGTATTTAAATGGCTGGTATCAGCAACCTAAAAGAGTGACCACTTCCCCTGCCACGTGACAGTGCTTGACTGCTCCACTCAAAGAGTTCACAGGTTCCTCCATATCTGAAATTGCTGAGTAGTGTAGGAAGCTGCAGAGGGGAGAGGGAGCAGGCAGGGTTGTGCTAGTAAGGTTAGTACAAGGGGTTGGGAAGGGGATTGGGGCTATCCAGAAATACTGTCACATTGCTCTATATGGGCAAGGGCTCTTTTAAGGCAAACTATATTTGTGGGTGCTAGTTTTAGTTCAGTTGTTTTCTACATCAATATGAAGCTCATAAACTTAACACATGATGAATGAACATCATAGATGACAAAGGATTTCCAGAGTAATATGGCATAGCTGATTTGATGTTCACTTTGTCTGAATAAACCTTCGGACTGAGCCATCTGATAAGGGAGGAGTCACTCCGCTAACTCATTTACTTGCTTGTGTAAATGTCATCTGGAGCTATTGAGCTCTGTAAACAGAGGGCTAAAGTGATGGAGAAAAGCCTAAAGCTTCACCCGCTGGCTGAGAATGAAAATGCCAAACATTAATATGCAATGTTTCCTATTTACCCCACTTTTTAAAAAAAGGATATTATAAAAGGTGTTATTTTTAGTTGCCATAGTAAAAGACATATTCAAAATTAAAAAGGAATAAATCATATATGAGGTAGTGGTCATGCAATTACCTTTCTCTCAGAGACTTTGCCGCTCTGTGTAACCTATATTAGAACTCCATTTACACAGACTAGATTATATATAACTTATTCATTTAAAATATTTTTTGGTTTTATATTTCATGTGTGACTTACCATTAAGACATCTTTGTACTTTCTACATTTGTTTTCGCTTTCATCTAATTTCTGCTGAAGTTCAACCAATTCGTCTTTCAGTTCGTCATTCTTAATTGCTAGCTCCAACATTTCCTCCTTAAAGTACCCAAACACAGCCATTTAACAATCACAAAGGAGTCATGTAGGCAAAATACAGCACAAATATTAAAGAATTGTCAACCTGTACTTAAATCCTGCCATCCTTCCACATTGCTGGAAGTGCAGATACAGTATAAAGGACACAGCTGCCCCTAGATTGGAAAAGGCATGTCCGTTCCATCTACTGTTTGAGATACATAATCAGCACACATCAGCATGCCAATGAAATCATCTGGAATCAAATGCAAAGTCTATTCAATGAACTGACTTGACCTTAAAGTGTTACTAAACCCACAACAGTAAAATCAGTCTGTATATGCAGTAAAGCATGCTTGTTATACTCACTGTGGAACCTAAGGGGTTAATCCTCTGCATTGTGTACAAATACTGTTTGATCCTGACTTCTCTGATCCTTCCCTTCTTCCAGTGTCCACACTTATCTCCTGATAAGACATTGTGTGGAGTCACTCTGCACATGCTCAGATTGGTTTGTATTGCTATAGAGGTTTTTTTTTCCTTGGGTGAGTGCATGTGATCAGCAGAGGGCCAATCAGCACTGTCCAGACAGAGGTCAGGGGTTCTGCATCCTCCTAGAGCAGAAAGAAAACTCCTCCTACAAGCTTTGACCAGTGCTCTGCTGAACACTGATAGAAGTCACAAGAATGCTTCAACTGCTGATGAGAAAAGGTAATTAGCAGTTTATATTTACTAAAATAATTGCATTTCCATGATGTGTGTACTGTGGTGACCAGATATAGTGAATGCAGGGTCCTGGGAGACCGGATATAGTGAATGTAGGGTCCTGGGTTTAGTAACACTTTCAGTTTGATGCTGGTCCTAGCCATTTCATTTAGGGAGTAATGACGGGTATTCTGGATTGGACGCACGACTATTCTGCAACAATCTGGTTATAGTTGTTGGAATCCCTGTCTCCTGCCTCAACATGCTGCTTGTGACACAGCCTGAACACTGTCTGCCTGATACCTGCATGTTTTTAGAATACACTTTGCTTGAAAATTTGGCAGTTAATTTTGCTTGCCTGTCACAATATTAGATGTCACCAGTGGGGCAAAGTCGAGATCTGATACCTAAGAGAGGCATACAGCAAACCCAATCCATGTGGAGATCCGTGTTGAAGACCAGGCTCCCTTAGAAACACCCTCCCTGGGGGAGCCCATGGTTACTACTGGTGACATGGAAGATCAACACCTACACACTGACTGGAGTTTCGATTTACAAAATGTGGCTCTGGCGTGGTTTCTCCAATCTCTGCACCAGACATTATACTCCTGATTTTGGTCCTGAACTCCAACAGGAAGTATCATGCCTACACAAAGCTTGCCCTGACCTGGGAGCATATGTGGAGATTGTGTAGCTACAAATAATCCTCTGGAATTTAAAGTGTTACTAAACCCACAACAGTAAAATCCATCTGTATATGCAGTAAAGCATGCTTGTTATACTCACTGTGGAAGCTAAGGGGTTAATCCTATGCATTGTGTAAAAAGGCTGTTTGATCCTGTCTTCTCTGATCCTCCCCTTCTTTAACTGTCCCCAATCCATCTGCGATAGTACAGAGCAGCAGTGGTAAGTCTGCACATGCTCTGGTGTAAATTGCTAGAGAGGGTCAGGGGTCATGCAGCCTCATAGGAAAGTCAGAGAAGAATGAAAACTCCTCCTACAAGGTTAATCAGTGTTCAGCCAGACACTAATAGATATTACAAGTCTGCTATATACTGCTGATGAGCAAAAAAGTATTTAGCCCTTTATATTGTTGGGAATGCAACAGCATGTACTATAATGTACTATATATAGTATTGTGTGTTAATATCACTTGACCAGTAGATGGCACTGTACACTAAAGGTTACTAGTTGTGTATATCTGAAAACTTGTTTGTTCCTCCTCCTCTCTATCATCTCTTCAGGAAGTAATATGTCTGCTGTGAAATGTGCTCTGTATGTTTGTAACTTAAGCCACACAAGTAAAGTCTGAATTCTGCTATCACTACCAGTGTCTTCTTTAACACATAACCAACATATATTTACTAAAAGCAGGGCTTTCTTTCAGCAGGAATGCGGGGAATGCAGTTCCGGCACCTCCAGCATGGGGTGTATGTAATGGCAAGGGGTGCTGGGGTGTGCTTCAGAGTCTACTGATTCTGGCTGCTGAGGGATCTATTGTGGCTGGAGGGATCTATTTTTGTGGGGAGGGGGGCTATTACTACTGGGGAGGTCTATCGTTTCTGGTGGGGGATCTGTTGTTGCTGGGGTGGGTCTTAAGTTGCTGGGGGGGTCACTTGTTTTAGGCAGGAATCTACTGTTGAGGGAGGGGGTCTAGTGATGCTGGCTGCAGGGAAATCTGTTGTTGCTGTCATAGGTCTATTGTTGCGGAGGGGGTATTTTGTTGCTGGGTGGTCTATTGTTTCTGGGGGATCTATTGTTGCTGGGACAGATCTTTTGTTGCTAAAGGGTCTATTGTTGCTGGCTGCAGGGGGTCTATTTTACTGCTTTTCTTGTTGTCATTAACAAATTCCATACAAACTACTTGATAAAATGATACTTGGTTCTATATTCTCTAAAAGGGGTGGTGCTGGGAGGTGAGTAGGGGGGTGGAACCAAGGAACGGTGCTCAAAGGTGGGTAGGGGGCGGAGAGTTCTTGCACCTATTCTGAGAAAAAAAAGCTCTGACTAAAATAATTGCATTTCCATGTGTGTACTGTGGTGACCAGATATAGTGAATATAGGGTCCGGGGTTTAGTAACACTTTAAGGGTTCATTTATAGTACATGTGGGCAAGGTCCAAGCTAGGTACCCCTCAGAGCCGGACACTCCTTATTTCTTTGGCAGATGAGAAATTGAGAATGTCTTCATGATGCCCTAACCATGTTCCTGGTGTGTAATCTCCAAGTGGTGCAGTGCCATGAGCCCCTACTTCACTTCCTGGCACTGAGATATATGAAGTATTTTTCCCCAATTACATGTGGGTAGGGAACAAGCAGAGTGTGTCTCTCTGACCCCAACCACATATCATGACTCACGAAAGAGGCCAGAGCATCACAAAGGTGATTCCACCAACATCATTCCATAAATACAAAAGAGAATCGTTTATTGTATTTGCGATCTAATTTATTGGGAAGCTCAGAAATTGTTCTTGCAATGACCCAATGTCCTCCACTGGTTAGGGGTACACACACCATTATCTTTATGGCCCAGTGCACATGAAGACTCAAGAGTACAGGGTTTGGTTTAGGTGCTGAAGAAAAAAGTCAGGGTCTAAAACGTTACTCTGCCCTGTCCGTGTATAGTCTGCAATGGAGAGGAAGGACTGGGATGGCCAGAGATGGGTATATTCAGTGGTGTATTTTGATTTTGTGCTGTGCCAGGCAAGACTAAAATCAGGCGCCCCCCCCCCCCCCATCTAAATTTGTCCTACCACTTCCTGTTTAGGATCCACCCTTTCAAGACAGGAGGGGAGGGGAGGGGAGTGATGGGGCAGCATGGCGGGGGACAGCATGACAGGAGGGGGGCAGCTTGATTAGGGGGCGCAGGACAGGAGGGCGCAGTGGGGACAGGAGGGAGGCAGCGTGACAGGGTGCTACAAGACAGGAGGGAGACAACGGGAAAGGGGGGGGGCAGTGGGACAGGTGGGGGCAGCGGGACAGCTGGGGGGCAGCATGATGGGGGGGTCACAGGACAAGAAGGGGGCAGTGGGACAGGAGGGAGGCAGCGTGACAGGGTGCTACAGGACAGGAGGGAGACAACGGGAAAGGAGGGGGGCAGTGGGACAGGTGGGGGCAGTGGGACAGCTGGGGGGCAGCATGATGGGGGGGGTCACAGGACAAGAAGGGGCAGTGGGACAGGAGGGAGGCAGCATGACAGGGTGCTACAGGACAGGAGGGGGGCAGCATGATGGGGGGGTGCAGGACAGGAGGGGGCAGTGGGACAGGAGGGAGGCAGCGTGACAGGGTGCTACAGGACAGGAGGGAGACAATGGGACAGGAGAGGGGCAGTGGGACAGGTGGGGGCAGTGGGACAGGAGGGGGGCAGCATGATGACGGGGGTCACAGGTGGGGGGGAAGTGGGGCAGGAGTGGTAAGTGGAACAGGTGGGGGGCAGAGGGAAAGGAGGGTGCAGCATGACAAGTGGGGGGCGCCGTGGGACAGAAGTGGGGAAGCACCAATCCTCCAAGCTCTTACCTATGCAGCTTCTCCATGTGGTGCTAGGATCGGTAGCTGAACGCTTTCCGGCGGCAGCTGCAACAAAGAGTGGACTGGCTTCTCCCCCCATCCTCATCCTCTTCTTCTTCTTCCTCCTCCATAGGCCCTCCACTGGCACCTTATGGCCTTACCCACTGACAGCGGGCCCAACCTTGCATCCGCCCTTCTGCAGCCGGTCCCCTGGCCCCTGCTTGTGTATCGGGTCCCCCCTGATGGCGGCCCTGCAGCTGACACCCATAGTGTCCCTCCTGTGTGAGGGCAGCCCTGCTCCCCTGTAAAATGCCGTCCAAAGCAAATGCCATGTCAGATACGCCCCTGGGTACATTTATATATTACCAGTACTTATATCCATTTACACAGAGCTTTACATATGTTGTACATTCACATCAGTCCCTAACCCCCAAGTAGCTTACAATCTAAGGTCCCTAACTCACATTCATTCATACACATCCTTGGGCCAATTAACCTACCAGCATGTCTTTGGATTGTGGGTGGAAACCCACGCAGGCACAGGGAGAACATGCAAACACCCTGCAGGTAGTGTTGTGCCTACTGACTCTCTCATTACTCTATACCCTGTATGTACTTCTCCACACATGTCAATGGCAGGGATCATATGCTGGGAGCTTCGCCTTTGGAAATCATACCCTTGGTCCTATGCATTAAAGAGCAATAACACCTATTGCACACATAAGGCATATTATTTTTTTTTTTTCTCGTGTAATGCCGCTAAACTTCATGTAAATACACAGAAGAAATAGTTACACGGGCACTGTTTACCTGCCAGTTGATTTGCTTTCCTCTCCATCCAGTTCTGAGAGTTACACAGCTCTGCTGCAGTTAAGTAACAGAGGTCTTGTCCCTTCTGCAGTCTCCAACAGGAGAGCGGAAGGAGAAGAAGCCGACTGTCACTTTTCTCTCTCATCTGATCAGTATGTTCATTGTTAGCACATGAGCACTGGACTGTCTCCTTGTGCTGCTTCTCCATCCCCAATCTGAGCTCTGCTGCACAGAGACTACAAAAGGCTGACACTGAGTCAAATGTATGTAGCTAACACTCCTTGTGATAAAAATATTGTAATGATGTAGTAATTATTGCTGTCCAGATGTCAAGATTGGCATGGGAAAAGGTAATGGACTTCAAACTCCTTACTGGTCAACCAATAAAAGCAAAATTTCAAAATAAAACACACACACAAGTCTGTGAAATAAATGCTTCCAACACCTAGGAATACTGATTATATACCAACGGCTTTGCAAGAAAATGGCAGGGCGCTGCAAACCAGATGAAGATTTGTGGGTGGGGGGGTGTTCTGTTAAAAAGACCTTTGCCCTGAATGGTTCATTTAAAACTAAAAAACATCCCAACTATCCCAAACTTTTACTGTTTGGGTGACCAGATGAAAGTCTGAACATTTGCTGCTTTGGCCCCTGTTCGGTAGGAGCCAAGCAGCATATATAAAATTCGTCTGGCTTTATCCTCACAAAAAATGGTCAAGAAATAAAAAGCTCCCCATACTTTAAAGCTTTTGAATCTCAATGGTGTTTCATAGCTGTAACTTGACTTCCCCCATCCAGTTCTCACTTTGTCATTAGAGTGTTACTAAACCCAGGACCCTGCATTCACTATATCTGGTCTCCCACAGTACACAGAACATGGAAATGCAATTATTGTAGTAAATATAAACTGCTAAATACCATTTCTCATCACCAGTTAGAGCAGCCTTGTGACTTCTATCAGTGTCCAGCAGAGCACTGGTTAAAGATTGTAGGAGTAGTTTTCTTTCTGCTCTAAGTGGATGCAGGACCCCTGACATTGGACATTGTTGACTGGTCCTGTGCTTATCACATGCACTCTCCCAAGAAAGAAAAACTCTCTAGCAAAACACACCAAACTAAGCATGTGCAGCTTGCCTCCAAGCCTCTGTTCTATCAGGAGATATATTGGAGACATTCGAAGAAGGGGAGGATCAGAGAAGACAGGTTCAAACTTTTTTTACACAATGCAGAGGATTAACCCCTTAGGTTCCACAGTGAGTATAACAAGCATGCTTTACTGCATATACAGACTGATTTTACTGTTGTGGGTTTAGTAACTTTTTAATAACAACTTCATTCATTCATTCAACAGGAAGCAAAGAAAACCATTAACTTACTTTGAAATGTGTCTGTTGTTCTTTCAAATTTTCTTGAATTCTTTTTTTTCTCTTCCAATATATTTAGCTGTTTTTCTAATTCCTCTTGTTTATCATCCACTTTTTGTTTCTCTAATTTTTTTTCTATTTTCTGTTTGTTTGTTTGATCATACTGTTTCTAAGGAACAAAACGAGGAGAGTGTTTGTCAGTTATTTATTATTGGAAAATGGAGGTCTCCAAACCTTCAGAGTCAAACATTGTACCTCACTGTTGGGCCAGGCCTGTCGAAATCTGAATATTCTTTGAGAGTGACGCTATCTAATAGATATATTGTAGTAATGGCCGAACTCAGGAGGGACAAAATGCCCATGAGTTGCTTAAACCTCTTGTGGACGTCTATGTGACCTGTCCTTGTTCTTGGCTCATCTAGTGTCATGGAATCTTACTCCTACCGCTGCATTTTCCGTAAAATTAAAAAATAATGAAAAATTCAAAGGAAACAGAGACCCTCTTTTGAATCCAGGAAGTATACAATCATTTGAGACCAGTCTATATATAGGGTAGTATAGTGTATAACTAAAGGTAAACCTTTTTTAGCTTTGGATAGAGTGGTCGGGTATATTCACGCTTGTGAATTTACCAGACAAAGATTCAAGGTTGCAAACCTTATGTAAAATTACGGACAGTACAAAATATGGCTTTGGAACTGCACATGTGCTTTTTCTGAAGATGGCTGGGCTTGGGCTAGGGACTACACTGGGGCATCTGTTTTTTGTCTGCTTTTAACCTCCTTAACATTTCTGCCTCTTCACTGCTCAGGAGCAACCAAGACAGGTCTTTATTCACCAACATATAACAGTTGGTCACTATACTTTTTTCATCTGGAACGAACAATGGCTTGGCGTTTGCTACCCAATTTGATCTGAGGTATTCTCGGACTGGTGGCTTCCTCCCCGCTGCTCAGAAAATCTCCCTTTGTGTATCCAATCACTACTGATCTTCATGTACATCAGGTGCTGCTATTGAACAGAGTGCTATCATCGACTGGCATTGTTGCTCAGTTTTTCCTCTTTCCCTGAACAAGTGGGTCACATGCCACGAAACGCGTCGGATTTTTTGATTGATTATCCGCCTTTGGATTCAGTTTTATGAAAAAGCATTTTTGGTTTCTAGTGGAACTGCCACCTTTCTCAAATTACACTCAATGGTCCATCATTTGGGTAGTCTATATGAATTTAGATATTTCCACTAATTACCAACATTTTTCATACCTTTCATGTCTGTAATTGTTTCACCAGTTTTTGATGATGATCAATTCTTTTGATGGTATCAATAGGGTTTTAGGACTCTTGCCCGTGACATTCTCATGTCCCGAGCCAGAGTCTTTGCCCACTATTATTTCTTTATAATTTTGTTAACTCATTATGTATGTGCCTACATTGGCGTTTGTCTTGCTTACCACTCTACCAATTGGGTTTCAGTGCATTCCTGTGGGAAACCACGTTTTGGTTAACAAATTTTTCGCAATATGAAAAGTCCCGCAGAACGCATTAAATTCGTAAACTTAGGTACGCCTGTATTCTTCAGCCAGTAGATGGCAGTGTTTATAAGTTTGTACCTGCATCTATGGCAGGGTTTCTCAACCTTTTTGCAATCAAGGCACCCTTTAAAACTATGGACAGTCTTGAGGCACCCCATTCTAAAATGTGAAAAACTATTCTAACAGTTTTATATGACACAGCAACATCCACACACGTATTACACCCAACGTTAGAGGTGATTTATTCTTCCAAACTAAAAACACTTTTACACACTGGTACTGACTAGTATTCCAATGTTTCTCTTCTCCCTCAGTTTTTCTCCATCACTGAGCTAATGTGACCCTAGCACTGATGGAGTGGGGCAGGGGAGGGTCAAACTAGGATGCTGTGCAGACAGCTGACATCCTCCTTATCAACTGATGATGTCATTGGTTGTCAGGACGCCGGAGGCTAGAAGGTCGTATTGGTGCACAATGAAAACCTGTGACTTTGTATAACTAAAAGGCCGGCTTGTTCCACCCGCTGGCTTATATACAAGTTTTGGATAATTTTTAGACATTTTGCATGAGCCTCACACACGGGGTCTAAACACCTAGTATACATGAGCCTTTAGGTGGACTGACCATTTAAGAATTGACTGAAAATCTGACAATTTTGCCAGGCCCATAAAACCAGACCATTTACACATGCTACTTAACCTTTTCACACCGGCGCCTCCCGGCCCTTTAAGGGGTTTCAGATGTCGGGAGGGTAGGGTGGGGTATTAGGGTCATGTGACCGCCGTGATTCGCTGTCGCATGATCGGAAAAGGTCCCAGTCGCAAGGGGAGATCGGGGCCCTTCCATGAGACACCGACATAAATGCTGGGAGCATGCAGGGCATGCGCTCTCAGCACATATGTGTTTTCAAATGGTGCGCAAATATGCGGCTGCTCGGCGTCAAGGCCCAGCCCCCCCGAGAGGCTGCATATTTGCATACGCTCGGCGTCAAGGGGTTAATCTAACATTGGCTTAGCTTTAAGTTTTAGAAAAAGTGATTATGCATACCGATGAACACAAATAAAATCACAAACCCTAGATATAAATTTTAAAAAAATACCTTCAATTGCGCTAATTCTTCTTGTAATTTCTCCATGTTCACTTTACTGAAACGATAAAATGAATAATACAGTAATTTTGATAATAAAGTATCATATCAGTATATAATGTAAAGTGTATCACATTAGTATAAGCAGGAGGGGCTGCTGCCCGGGCGCTGTGGTATTATGTGAGGTGGGGGGGTGCACTGCATGGAAAGTTTCTACCTACAAGCTGGCATGAGTAGTGACAGCAGCTTCAGAGCAACAAACATTTGTGCTGAGGATGAGAGTATTTGTGCTAGGAGGGGGAGGGAGAAGAGGATTCGCACTAGGAGGGGGGGAGATTTGTGCTAGGTTGATGTACAAGGGGTGATTTGCAGGTATTTGTGCTGGGAGGGGGGATGGAGGGAGAGGATTTGTACTAAGAGAGGGGATTTGTGTTAGGAAGGGGAATTGGGGGGGGATTTGTGCTAATAGGGATGATTGGGGGGGATTTGTGCTAGAAAATGAAACTTTTGAGGAAGAATTTCTGCTAGGAAAGGGGATTTGGAGAGGGAGAGAGGATTTATGCTCAGGGGGGGAATTTGAGGGGTAGAGGTTTTGTGCTCGGAGGGTGGATTTGGGAGGGAGAGGATTTGAGCTGAGAGGGGGTTTGCGGGAGCAAAGATTGTGCTGGGTTGGTGATTTCAGCAGGGATGGAGAGGGGAAAGGGGGGGGAATATTTGTTTGGGGAGAATTTTGGCTTGCAAAGGGAATTTATGGTTGGGAGTAAGCATTCAGATTAGAGCTCAATGTTTTGGGGGAAGAGGGAGGGGATTTTTGCCGACACCCAATGCTTACACATTTTTTGTTGGGGGATTCCATTTGCCCAGTGTGGCACACGGATCCCCTTTTTTTTTTGTTTTGTAAACATTTTATGTGAAGCGTACAACGTACACGTTCATTGGCTGAGCTGCAGTGTGAACAGGACACATAGGAAACAATTGTTTTCTGTGTGTTCTTGCGGTGACAGTCACCAAACACTGTGTGGATTACCCAACTGGTGACATACCATATCATCCCCCCACCCGCACAAGAAAGATTAAAGACCCCCCACCAGATCAGAGCCCCGTCATATCAGTGCCCCCCTTAGATTAGAGATAGTCAATTAGAGGAGAGTCCCTTTATATCGGTAGCCCCCAATAAATCAGGGTCCTGTCATATCAGGACCCCCATCAGAGACCCCCCCATCTCATTATATCAGCACCCCCCCTTTCCTTAATACCCCTCTTTAGATCAGAGTCTCCTTATATCAACACCCCCCTTAGGGATCCCCCCTCCCATTATATCAGAGCCACCTTATATCAGGATTCCCTCCTTACAGACCCCCGATAGATCAGAGTCTCCTTATAAAAACACCCCCCCTTAGAGATTTCCCCCCTTTATATCAGAGCCACCTTACATCAGGATCCCCCCTTACAGACCCCCCAATAGATCAGAGTCCCCTTATATCAGCACTCCCCCTTAGAGACCCCCCCCCCCATTAGATCAGGAGTCTCCAGGGGCGGACTGACCATTTGGAAACTCGGGCACTGCCCGAGGGCCCGGGGTCAGTAGAGGGCCCCATGAAATACCCCTGGTACCTTTTTCATAGGCTTTTTTGAGATTGGGCAAGGACACAGGGGCCCCATGATCCCCTATTGCCTGGGGGCCCCATGAGTTGTCAGTCCGCCCCTGGGAGTCTCAATATATATCAGAGTGCCCCCCCCCCCCGTCCCTTAAGGACTCCCATTAGATTGGTTTACCAGGTGGGAGTTGCTGCATGCCGGGAAGTGAGAGCCAAGGTTGGGGGGGTGGAGTTTGTAGGTGGAGCAGCTCTACCATATGCCATTTTCCTCCCACCGTGCACAGCGGTATGGTATATGTCTGGGTTTCAGGTGGACTGAAACCTGAACACATGATTCAAAACCCGGACTGTCCTTGTGAATCCCAGACAGGTGGCAACCCTACTTTTAGCACAAAGCATGTAAGATACACCTCTGGCTTCTCAAAATAAAAAAAATTTAATAACTTATATTAACAGAGGTTGGGTGAAAGGTTTAGCGCAGTGGAACACTTTTGGTAGGTAAATTGTACATATTTTTATAGAAATCGATACATCAGACAAAAAAAAAAGGACAACCAAGGAGGAAAGAAAGACAGCTGGGATTAAAAGTTCCTATTAGAAGTTAGGAGCCCATGCAAAGGTTTCTAAGCAAAAATTACAAAAGGCAGGAAGAGACGAGCAGATATAGAGGAAGCAAAGAAAAAACACAAAGTTCTTGTAAGACATAGAAGCTAAAAGTCCCTATATACTGTTATCCCCTATAGACTGATAGCGTACTCACGGATTATAGGTCTGACTTTGGAAGCAAAAAGACGACTTCTGTCGTGAATGGCTTCCTGCTTCTTGGCTGCTCCCAAGAATAGAAACTAAAAAATGTAAATGGCTTCACTAACTTTCAGTTTCTGTTTAGCCTGCAGCTGCGTTCAATGCTGACATTGCTGCCTTCAGATGGGGGAGGGTGTGGGAGGAAAAGCAAGAATTTTTTATTGTTGTTGAGTACTGTTCGTGATACTTTTTTTATTTGCACTAACATATAATTTTGAGGACAAGCTCTCGGGGAGTGTCCCCTTCTTCAAGGTCCAAGCAGTACTGCTTGGACCTTGAAGAAGGGGACACTCCCCGAAAGCTTGTCCTCAAAATTATATGTTAGTGCAAATAAAAAAAGTATAACAGACAGTATTCAGTTGTTTCTGTCGCAAATGCACTAATACGGCTACAATCACCTCAAGTTTAATGTTGTTGAAATCAGTCAGGGGCCTACGTTTGATGGAGCTGGGCTAAGTTGCAATTGGCAGTTTTATCACTTCTTTTCTTGACTAAGTTGACCTGTAATTTATAATACAACAAAGTGAAATGTTTAGAACATTGAATTAAATCTCTGATCATTACCAGAGCTGACAGTACCTTAAGGCCCCTTTCACCTGGGTACCATCCAATCCAATCAGCAGAGGATCCATGAACAGGTCCTATGGTGAACTGGAGCAGAACAGGACAGATGTCACTTTTGTCACACCCATCCTATTAAGTTTTTTTCTGATTTTACAAATCCAAGCTTTCCGGACCCATGGCGAATCTATAAGCAGCCAGATTAAAGCAAACTTACGCCCATTCACATTAGAGACTACCTCTAAACCATCATACTTCAGAAAAATGGAAAAGCATGCAGTCATTTTCAGGATCAGGTCCACTTGAAAAATTGACGGGCATACCTGAGTGTGTCACCCTGAATGAGTAAAGTGTCAGGTTCCTTTTAATTGCTGGTTCAGCTTTATGGATCTTGGAGTCAAGTTGGTGAAAAGTGCTTTATAAATCAAGCAATGATCTCTATTCACAAGCGGTAAGAAATGTGGTAAAATATTGATTAGAGATTTTCAAAGACATTTTTTCAATGCAGTAGAAAATGCAACTAAAATACCACATGACTATTTTAAGAAGAAATGCGGTATTTTTGTAGTGAAAACTTGTAGTAATTTAATGCCGAGGGTCATGGTTGTTAAGGAGCCGGTGGCTGCTACATCCTTAACAACCAATGACTCATCAGCTGAATGTAAACAAAAGAATTGCAGGCAATGAAAAATTGAGAAGAAAAAAAAAAAACAGCATGGAGTTCCCCCACAATCCATACCAGGCTTTTCAGGTCTGGTATGGATTTTAAGGGAACCCCACACCAACATGTAAAAAAAAACCCAGCGTGGGGTCCCCTCAAAATCCATATTAGACCCTTATCCACCTCCTGAACCATATCAGGCCACATGCCCTCAACATGGAGGGGAGGTGCTTTAGGGCAGGTGGAGCTCCCTTCCCAAAGCACCTTGTCCCCTTGTTGATGAGGACAAGGGCCTCTTCCCCACAACCCTTGGCTGTGGTTGTGGGGTCTGTGGGCAAGGGACTTATTGGAAGCTGGAAGCCCCCTTTAACATATCCCGCCCCTCTTATGTGAATGATTAGGGGATACATAGTACTCCTATTCATTCACTGAAAAAGTGTTAAAAGTGAGTAAAAACACAAAACATAAAATGTCTCCTGTAGTAGATCTAACGTTAATCACAGTGAACACCGACCACAGACCCAAAGAAAAAAAAAAAAAAGAGATCCGCACTTGACGTTGACTCCCACCATCAGACAGCTCCACCGCCTCACACCCCCCCATGACGTCATTGGCCCAGCATACACGGAGCTCTGAAGGTATGGCAAGAGTATGCAGGTCCTTTAGAGCGTCCGCACATGGTGATGTCACTGGCTACATCCCGTGTGAATATTTCCTAAACGGTGCAAGTTTAGCAGATATTCACTGTACCTAAGGTACAAGTTAAAAAAATGGACTTTACTTCCACTTGAAGACCAAGCATTTTCTATTATGTTTTGTTTACAAGTTTAAATCAGTATTTTTTGCTAGAAAATTACTAGAAAACCCCAAACATTATATATATATTTTTTAGCAAAGACCCCCTAGAAAATGAAATGGCGATTGTTGCAATTTTTTATGTCATATGGTTTTTGCACAGCAGCTTTTCAAACACAGTTTTTAAAAAAAAAAATACACTTTAGTGAATAAAAAAAAAAAAGAATATATACCCCAATTTTTTGTAAAATAAGCAAGAGGATGTTACAGCGAGAAAATGGATACCTAACATGTCACGCTTTAAAATTGCATACGCTTGTGAAATGGCGACAAACTACAATACTGAAAAAACCTCCATAGGCAATGCTTTAAAAATGTTTACAGGTTACCTGTTTAGAGTTACAGAGGAGATCTAGTGCTAGAATTATTGTTCTCGCTCTAACAATCTTTGCGCAATTTACGTATGGGTTCGCTTCTTCGCGAGCACGGTGGGATGGGGCGCTGTGAATTTTTTTTTTTTTCTTTTTACACTGTCCCTTTAATTTTTTTAAATCACTTTTATTCCTATTACAAGTAATGTAAACATCCCTTGCAATAAAAATATGCATGACAGGTCCTCTTTAAGAAGA